TCAACCACACAGAAGGGGCTGGTTGGTGTGTGCTGGCAGCAAAGGAAACTCCCCCAATCACCTGCAGAAAATAAAAGAGAGGAAAGAAAGAAAGAAAGAGAGAGAGAGAGAGAGAGAAATCAGGGGAAAGCAAACAAAAGAGACCTCTCGGCTAGTTTTTTTTAAAACACAGTTCGTTCCGTACACGAGCACAAATGACTTTCACTCAAGGAAAGAGTTAAGTGGTGTATAGGAGAATAATATCATTCTTGAAATTCTCAATGGCATGAACCTAACAGTGAAGCAAGAGAAATAGTATAAATATGCTTACCCATAAAAGATGTGGAAGTGGTTACAAACTCTCAAAAAAAAAAACATTTTAATTATTTGTTAGTACTAATCCAGGTTCCCGTTAAGGCAACGTTAGCTCGCCTTGTCGTAGAATATGCGTCTTGTGATTTGCTATTTTCTTGGGACATACGCACAACGAGAAGAGTGGGAAGAAATATGAAAACCTTTTATATTTCCCATTCATTTATATTTTAATTTATAACTCTTACAAGAGAATCTACATACGCTAAACCATCATTTCCCCATTACATGAATGTTCGACAGAAAAATCCACTCCCAGGTAAACCCTACCCCACCCCCAAACTAGAACCCTTTACTGGTTTCCTTTCGGAAGTCCCACTCTATTGTCAAGTGGCAAGCTCCCCAAGTCTCACCCTCACGAAAAACCGTTTGCGAGATGAAGGATGAACTTTGTGACAACTGTTAAGAACATCAGAACACTGACGATTCTGCCAGTTTTTTTTTTTTTTTTTCGTAATCAACTAATTTTCTTATAATCTACTTTTCCTCTCGGAAAATTCATCCTGAGTGCATTCTGCAGTAAGCAAGGGGTTTTTTTTGTTCCAAAGGTCGGAGTGGGAGGATCCAAGGACTTAATATCTAGGGAATGGAACTATCATCCATCACGCTCAGGTCTCCAGCTTCTAAACTGAAAATTATCTGGTGCTCATGCAGCCAAACCAATCAACTAATCCGCCCTTTATTTTTCCGCAGAGCTTTAGTTTTTTGTTTTCCACCCTTTCTGCAGTACACGCATAGATCATACCTGATTTGCCATCTTATTCCAAAACAGTAATCAATTCATCGTTTGCTTGCTAACTGAAGTAGCAGTCCATTCAAATCCATAACTACACCATAATTTAAAACCTGTCGCTAAACCCAAAAAAAAAAGGAAATCCAGAATTTAATACTGAGGAAGTTTTAGTTTCCTTGCAGGAAAAAAAAAAGATTACATCTGTCCTGAATAAATAATAATAGTAATAATAATAATAATAATAATAGTTCGGTCAAGCCCTTATGCGCAGCATCTCCCCACGTCCCGAGAGGAGGAAAAAGAAGAGGGAGGGGGAGAAAATAATCTTATTGTTATGAATGAAGAAAAAAAAAAAAAAAAAGAGTCAGTCTACGGAAATAACTTCAGATATCCATTGCGTTTACTCAATCCCCTTTGGCGAATAGCATTCTTGGTGGTGTCAGGAAAAAAAGGCATTAACACTATCTCAATAGTGTCTGCAACTAGCGTTGTGATCACTCGTTCTGCAGTACCAGGAGAACCGTTAATCTCAAGAAGCCAAACCCGTAGCCTCTCATCAATTAAAAAGTCATAGCCGAAGACTTGAAAACATGGTGTACATGATGGAGAGCGTTCGCCAGGAATGGAACTTCTGGCAGCAAGAAGTGTTTCTAGAATAATGTGATGTATCTGTGGCAATATTGTATTTTTCAGAGAAGGCTCTAGATTAGGGTTTGCACCATCATGCATTATTCCTTTTTCAAGCATTCGTTTACCTTTATAACGAATAACGGCATCAAGGTGTTCTTTCCATAACTCATTACCCTCTTCAAAGGCTGAGTATGCTTCACCTTCTGCCTGAACGCAATGATTAGTTATATGTGCTAGACGGCCTTCAGCAGTTCTAGCTGTAGCGCTATGTGCTCCGTATTCTACACTACTCATGCGCATTACTAACTCCTCATGAACATAAATTTCATATTGGTCAGCACATAAAAGAACACAACATCGGATATCAAATTTGCGACGGTGATATAAAAGAGGACGGTCAATATACAACTGCACCACCCACATGTATGATTCCTTTCGTGAATCTACATATCTAAGAAGGCTCTTTAAACCTTTAGAGTCGTTGCGGAAAATCTCCACATCATCCCCATGACACCCTGACGAGCTCTTTGCTATCCATAATGTATCACGATAAGACTTACTTCGAAGAGTTTCTATTAGTTGATCTCGCTCATCACTTTGAGGTCTTCGAGGGAAGACTCGGAATGTCCGCGGTAAATATTGTCCCAAGCGTTCCCAAGAGTAAGAGTAATATTCAAGAAGTGTAGAAACCATACTCCCCTTAAGTGTGATGCACCTCAAACTCTCCACACAGTTTACAACAAGTGTATTGTTTTTTTGATAAAATGAGGTTAGTTTATCAATTTTCTTAGAGGAAGGTTTTTCAGTCCTCCCAGACATAAGACGGCGAGTGGCAACAAATTTCTCTGCTGGAATTTTCTCACCCAAGAGAAGCGCAAACCCTTCATGACTTATAGGAGATCCATTGGAAACGAGACAAAGCTCACCACTATTACCACGGCAACGTCTAACAGGGACACCCTTCCAGTTTCCTGTGGACACCAACTGTCGGGCCATCTCCTCATAAAGGGAACCTATATTCTGCATCACAGCGAATAGATGTGGTGGGGGACCCATCGCCACATCACATGCTCTCACGTTATTGCGGCTGGGGGACCCTCTTCCCTTAACCAACCGTCGGTTATTTGGCTCTCTGTCACCAAAGAGCGTCAGGGACGTGTCGGTGATTCTACTAGGGCTCTGAGAATTGCGGGGCAGTTGCGCCAATACCGTTCTTGTGGGCATCCCTAGGTAAAGAGGAAAGACAGGGGCAAAGCCTTCAACCCCCTGTTGATTCTGTTGGTGGGAATCCTTTGACACTAGAGAAAGGGGAAAAGTCCTTCCAATGTGAAAGTAAACCTTAAAAGAAAAAAAAAGAAGGAGAAAGGACGGAAAAGAAAAGGGGGAAAAAAAAAACGATGTCGCAGTGTTTACTTATCCATCAGTTCTGCCAACAACTCTCTCTCTCTAATTCTCTCCATATATATATACGCAGCCAAATCATGATGCGAAATCAATAAGCAATCAATTTTGTACAGTGTCTAATTTTTTTTTTTTTACTTCCCTTGAGATGTTTCCTGATGTTACCTTCACACTGCATGCGTCCGTCCTCATCGCCTCTGCTAAGTATAATTCTTCACCTTCTAAGCATTAAAAATGCCATAATATCTTCATTTCAGTCTTCTTCTTGTTGTTGTTGTGCAAAGGCGTGAAAAGGGAGAGGAACATAATAGAAAAATACAAAATAAAACGAAAAGAAAAAAAAAGAAAATTGTGAACGCGGCACCCGTATTGTACATCACATAATCCGACTAATACAATGTTACAGGGTGGTTCCCTGGGGTCTGGTGTATACTGTAGCCAATCCAATAACACGAACAGGATCTGTCGTGAACTGAGAATTGTATAACTTATTCCCACCAGATGGGCCAGCTCCCTTCTTCCGTGATGGAAACGATAGGGGTAGAGATCCAGGTTTGGGTTCAAAACCTGACATAAGACATTCATTAACTGATACCCAAAGTGGAGTTGAGCGCTTGAGAGACGTTAAGAAATCCTGACGCTGTTTGCCCATAACAGGACGCCACTTAGAATCTAGCATGAAGTGAACTGATTTGCTTTTTTTTGGAAATATAGAAAGAACCTCATCAGGGTTAGTAAAATCGTCCAGGTTATAGAATTCATTAATAGAATCATCACCAGCATCATCATCTACCGCCCCAGCACCTATCATAACAAACTTATTAAGATGTTTTTTTTCAATACCAACGCCCATACGTTTGGCACCCATTGTTGTTACCCAAATAGGACTAGAAAGTTTGTGTTTGAGAGCAAAGGCACGAAGTTTGGCCTCATCACGACGACCAATTAATTTACCATTTAAAATAGCAACAGAACGAACTGCAGGAACAGCCAAATGTGGTTGTGTCAAACATACCGCATTGTAGTATCGTCGAAGTGTGGCATCCTCAGCAAAAAAAGCAGCACTTATCCCACTATGTATCCTTTTAGACCCACGTGGGGGTGAGAATTTTTGAATAACGAGCCCATCTATATCTTTAGAAAGATCATTATTTTCATCACCTTGATGTGAATCGTCTTCCAAATTTTTTGATTTCAATGGTTTTATTTTATTTTCACATCGTTGAGCAAAAGCAGCATACTTCGGTTTTTGTAATCCTAAATCTCTGATATTAACAAAATGGTATGGGTATACAGGGTCACCTATTGCAGCCATATTTTTTACAATTACCCTTGATCGCATTACTTCCCAACCATTTACGTTATAGAGATAATACAAGTCATAACCAAAGGCATCAGGATGGGACTCATGTAGTTCCTTTAGCAACTCATCATGTGCATCCTTGGGCAGTTGTGAAAGAGATACTATCAACCCCGTCATGTTTGGAGCTAATACACCATCACCTTCAGAATTTTTTCGTATTTCTACATTCAGATGTTTAATTTGTTTTTCTGGTACCCACATAGGAGAAATATATCCCCGCATTATACCGACAGCCAAAAGGATGTCATGCGCTGGTTGTCCAAGTCTTTTTCCCGTTACTGCATTTAATGCTACTCCTTTTTGTGGTTCCCCTTTATATGGGTCGTCTAGTTGCTCAGCACTGTATACTGAAATAGAACTCTGCTTTCTAATATCTATTGTATTCTTTCCTTCCAATTTAACACCAAGCTCAGGAATAATGGAAACATCAATGTAGAGTGCACGGTCCTCGTCTTTTTCATTTAATAGTCGCAGTAGACGCTCAGCTGTTACAGTCTTCCACTTCATGCGAGTAGAAAGAATACCTACACCAGAGCCAAAAAATGGTGGGTGTTCGTCCATTATCCGTTTCTGTACATTTTTTGGTAGTACAGAAAAAGGAACAACCTTTTCTACGTTAAGATGTATTGTAGTTGGAAGTTCACCAGGAAGTACTACCGCATTACATGTGCGACGTGATTGTGGTAGTGTAACCCAGTATCTATTAACGTAATGTCTCTCTTTCGATACAGCTCGTAGAACGGACTGGCAAGACGCAGAAAATGGAGCGTTAGTAACAGAAGAGAGCACAGTAACGCTGTTATTCGCTGTAGAGAGACGTTTGTTCTTAAAAAACAATCTAGAAGGACGAAATATAGATTTCATTAAACCTCAGTCACACGTTACAAAAAACGTTATTTTTTTAAGTGCTCAACTATGAAACAGACACACACGCAGACAAAGACGCAGATAACCTTTCTTTATTACCTCCTCACCGCTATTCTCTCCCTCCACTCACACCCAAGAATGAATATGGCAACAGCAACAGAGGATGCCGGGTGGGTTCAATCGTTGTTGGTTGGCGCCGACGAAAGAAAAAAAAAACACAGCAGCGTCACTTTTTCCTTTGATTCTTTTGTTGGAGAGGGGGATATTTACTTTCCTGAAGAGTGGTGCAAGGAAAAAAAAAAAAAGAAAAGGTACGAAAAAAAGAGAATAATGGGCATAAAAGCACACTTCATCATATTGAAGAAAAAAAAGCAAGAAGTTACTTTTTTTTTCAATTCCCTCACATAAATTTGAGTACGAGAAGGAAAAAAGAAGAAAAAAAAAACATTCCCTTTCCTCATGCTGTCTCACATTTCTTCTCTTTCCTTCATCCTGCTCCTTATGATTTCGTTTCATCCATGAAGTAATAATTAAATTCCCTTCACACCTTCTTTTCCACCCTCCACATGGTTCATTCATGGTTTTCTTTTTCTTTGCCTCTTTTTTTTTAATATTTTATTTGTTCATATGCTTGATTCGGAGTAACCCTCTTCACCCTTCCATCTCCGCTTTATGCGGACTCGTAGATCTGCTTAGCGGAGTGCGATGTCCAGGCAACGAGTTCCTCCTGCTTAAACCAGAACGCAATCTCGCGCTGCGCGCTCTCGACAGAGTCAGAGCCGTGGCAGACGTTACGGCCCACGTCGACGGCGAAGTCGCCGCGGATGGTGCCCGGGAGGGAGTCGGCGGGGTTCGTGGCGCCGAGGAGTGTGCGGCCGCCCTTGACGACGCCCTTGCCCTCCCACACCATACCGACGATGGGGCCGGAGGAGAAATAAGCGACGAGGTCCTTGTAGAAGGGCTTCGACGCGAGGTCAATGTAGTGCTGCTGCGCCTGCTCAGCCGATGGCTGCAGAAGCTTGAGCGCCACCAACTTGTATCCCTTACGCTCGAAGCGCTGGAGGATCTCTCCGACCAGACCCCGCTGAACACCGTCAGGCTTCACCGCAATGAAAGTGCGTTCGCTTGTCATTGTAGATGTATGTGCTGTGGTTGTAGCTTTAATGAAGAAACTGTTTAGGTAGAAGAAAAAACAAGAAGAAAGGAGAAATAGGAACACAAGAAACGACATGAAAGCCAAAAATAAAACAAAAACAGGAAACCAAATAAACACACAATACGGTAAATATGAAAAGTACGGAAAAGAGAAAAAAAAAGGTACGAAAAAAAGAGAATAATGGGCATAAAAGCACACCTCATCATATTGAAGAAAAAAAAGCAAGAAGTTACTTTTTTTTTCAATTCCCTCACATAAATTTGAGTACGAGAAGGAAAAAAGAAGAAAAAAAAACATTCCATTTCCTCATGCTGTCTCACATTTCTTCTCTTTCCTTCATCCTGCTCCTTATGATTTCGTTTCATCCATGAAGTAATAATTAAATTCCCTTCACACCTTCTTTTCCACCCTCCACATGGTTCATTCATGGTTTTCTTTTTCTTTGCCTCTTTTTTTTTAATATTTTATTTGTTCATATGCTTGATTCGGAGTAACCCTCTTCACCCTTCCATCTCCGCTTTATGCGGACTCGTAGATCTGCTTAGCGGAGTGCGATGTCCAGGCAACGAGTTCCTCCTGCTTAAACCAGAACGCAATCTCGCGCTGCGCGCTCTCGACAGAGTCAGAGCCGTGGCAGACGTTACGGCCCACGTCGACGGCGAAGTCGCCGCGGATGGTGCCCGGGAGGGAGTCGGCGGGGTTCGTGGCGCCGAGGAGTGTGCGGCCGCCCTTGACGACGCCCTTGCCCTCCCACACCATACCGACGATGGGGCCGGAGGAGAAATAAGCGACGAGGTCCTTGTAGAAGGGCTTCGACGCGAGGTCAATGTAGTGCTGCTGCGCCTGCTCAGCCGATGGCTGCAGAAGCTTGAGCGCCACCAACTTGTATCCCTTACGCTCGAAGCGCTGGAGGATCTCTCCGACCAGACCCCGCTGAACACCGTCAGGCTTCACCGCAATGAAAGTGCGTTCGCTTGTCATTGTAGATGTATGTGCTGTGGTTGTAGCTTTAATGAAGAAACTGTTTAGGTAGAAGAAAAAACAAGAAGAAAGGAGAAATAGGAACACAAGAAACGACATGAAAGCCAAAAATAAAACAAAAACAGGAAACCAAATAAACACACAATACGGTAAATATGAAAAGTACGGAAAAAGGAAAAAAGAAATTGAGATAGTGTTAACTTGTGCAGCTTTCGTGCTTCTGATTGTCCTTGCGAAAGCTGCAGCGATAATCGGTGTTTTATCCATTAGACTACAGAGAAATATGTATTCGTACTCTATTCAAGAATCCAAGGAGATCTACGAAAGAAAACTAGTCTTACACGCATGTAAGGCTGAAAAACCATTCTATTTTATGTGAGACATAACACCACCATGTCATAATTTTAAAAAGTTACTCGAGTGAAAATTCAATAATGTTTCCGTTAACCTCCCACACACCAACATCCGTGTAGGTACGCAAACATCGTTGAAGCTGAGACTCATCAACTCCCTTGATCATAAGAGCTGGACGCACTTCAGCTAAATCTATGGTAGTCCTTGCACGAGCTAAATCTTTTATTGTTGAAAAAATTGCAGCGTCTGAAGTTGTAACACTGCGACGACCATTAGGATCAACTCGTTCATGAAGGGAAATTTTACTACAATCTAGCAACCGACCAGCTTCACGAACATCAGCTTCAAGAACTCGGTCCGAAAAACGAAGGCGAGCGCAAGCCTGAGAAAGACGAATAATACTAAGTAGTGTACGTGCAGTAACCACATTAGTATGGCGTACACTTTGTGCTCGCATTTCGCAGTAAATATCACTAATAACTTTTGCAGCAGCGCTATCTACAATGGGATGAATTTGTTTTATTTCACCAATATACGCACGCAAAAAATCTTTTCCAAAGTACTCTGATGAAGAACCGTGGAGTCCATTATCAGATATTGCCCCTGGGGCTACACCATGTAAATGAACGTGGGTAACATGCATAGATAACTCTGTATCCCTTTCTCGATTTGAATCATCAAGTAAAAGCCATAAAATATCAAAACGAGAAAGTAATGCAGGTGGTAAATTTACATTCTCGCTTGGAGTTAAATTGCGTCTCCATCTTCCATATTTGGGATTAGAAGCGGCTAAAATTGATGTACGAGCATTTAGTGAAGTAATAATACCAGCTTTAGCAATAGAAACCAATTGTTGTTCCATCACTTCATGTAGTGCTGTCCTATCAGTATCATCCATTTTGTCAAACTCATCAATGCAGCAAATTCCTCTGTCAGATAAAACCAATGCTCCACCTTCCAGCATTACTTCTCCTGTATGCGGATCTCTCGTTACAGCTGCTGTTAAACCAACACCAGAACTTCCTTTTCCAGTTGTAAATACAGAACGTGGAGCTACAGAAGCAATCCATTTTAACAATTGACTTTTTGCTACTCCAGGATCCCCCATAAGACAAATATTTATGTCACTTCGAATACGAATTCCATTAGCTATAGAACTTCCTCCAACTAGTAAGCATAATAATGCCCTCTTCACATCCTCCATACCCCAAATTTCAGGTGCTACACTACGAGTTAATTTCTCTATAATAGCTTCCTTATCTGGATACTCCCGTACACTTTCTAATTGTGCTTTTAGATCCTCTGCTGCCTCCTGATAGCTCCGTTTTTCCAATTCAATAAGTAATGCGCGAAATAAAGTTTTTACCATAGTGGAAGCTCTAAATGCTTCATGTCCCTGACCAGTAGAAGGGTCAGGACAATAGGTTCCAGTGACCTTCACAACTTGTCCTGGTGTAGCAATCCTAGTCTGTTCACCTTCACAAACAACTCGAATTGTTCGTGGGATAGCACCACGAGGAACATCCTGAGGAAGCTCTTGAAGCCTAAGTTCCTGATACTTTATAAATTTACTGGCTTTATACTGAGGAAGCAAACGCCCTACCGTGTTATTTAGCTTACAACGCTGTGATTGACAAACCATTAGTGGAGTAAGTCTATCTCCAATAACTTGCTGAAATGTAGTTTCAGCACAAACTTCACAAACCGAAACTAACATAGATAATTTGGGACGAACGGCAGTAGCAGCGATGCAAATACCACGTAATATGGTAAGAGTACCAATTGAACCTCCTCTTAGTTGTCGAAGTGGAATAGGATCAGCAAAACCACTTAATGGTACAACAACAAGCTCATATCTTCTGGTTAGCAAAGATGGTAACGATTGTCCAGCACTTCTCGCCTCAAGTACAAGGTAATCAATCATATCTTCTACTACCTCATTATGGGGAATAAGTTCATCAATAACACGATACATTTCCTCGCAATATCCCATTACATTCATCTGTATTCGCTGTGCAAGATAAAGTTGTCCGTAATTAGCGACATCATCCAAAAAAACTGTAAAAATTCCCAATTCCCTACGAGAAATTTGAGCAGCCATCTCTATATATTTTAGAGCACCAGAAGTATCACGAAACTCTTCAAAGAAACGCTTGCATAGTTCACGGTCTGCCAAGTAATTTGGGTATCGAGTGGTTGCAGCTGTAGCCAAGCTTCCTTTTTTATTTTGCTCATGCTCTTGCACACCCGCCATAGCAGGAAATACCTTTCAAAAAATAAAATTATAGAATAGAAATAAAAATAAAAAGCAATAGACATAGATTAAATATTTAACCATCAATAAAACCCTAATAAATAGATATAATAACAGTTTTATTCACATTAGCACAGAGAGAGAGAATGAGAGGGGAAAAAAAAAGAGATAACAGCTTTCCTTTTCCCTTTTATTCGCAAATATTCTCAAGAGGTGAAAAAACGAAATAAAAATAAAAACAGCAAAGGTCATGAAATGAAGTAAAAACAAGTAAAAAAAAAAAAAACACTAAAAATTAAAAAAAAAAAAAAATTCAGTAAACAATAAAACTTTTTGAAGGATGCAACGAACCTTGAAAAGAAAACACCACATCATCATAAGGTATCTTGTGTTTCTGCAAAAACCCATAGACATCATCAGAATTTTCTCTTGAACACTGCGTGAAAAGAATTATCCTTGTGGTCTCACGATTGAATTGCCTTAATTGTTCAACAACCTCAGTATTTATGTTCCAAGTATCAAGTCGTCTTACGTACTTCGCCGTCAGATCACTCTCATTATTCATAGTCATTATCGCAGATTCCAAAACAACGTGTACACTACGCCATTCACTTAGAAACTGATTCCAACTGAGATCAGATTTCCAATCACAAAAAAACTGAGTAAAAACCACACCAAATGGAACTCTGTCGTGAAACATCTGATGACGAATAACATGAGAAACAAACATTCTCTCATTTTTTCCAGGACAAGATCCAAAAAGAAGACGATAACCATCGTCTCTTCGATGTTTTAACTCTTCTACAGAAGAAAGAAAAAGTTTTGCATCCTCAAATGCGTATCCCCCCGCACAAATAACATCACTTGTAACGCGTTTTTCGTGTATATTACCAAGAAAAGTACCAGTAGCTTCAATGAATGAACGTTGTGGTATGTCAATAAGGTTCGGCACATCACGCAAACGGAGACCCACAACATAATTACCGACAAGCACTCGATGGCTAAAACAGCTATCAACATCTTTTATAAATATTGGACCTGATATTCTTTGATCTTTTATTATTGCAGAAACGGTTTCTGGAGCACTACTTGTTCCATCAATACTAATAACTTTGAATTCAATATTATCGTTTGAAACAGCTTTTGCTGCGTATGCTTCAAATTTTGAAACATCCCCGTTGCAAAACTCAAATATATGTTCCTTTAAGACAGCTAAGAATACCGCTTTCACGTTTTCAAGGGTTAGATGATGTAATAACTCGAGTAATATTGAATGACCTTTGGGGTGCTGCTTTAGCCAACAGGGTATCTGATTTTTCTCAAGTCCTCTTGCTGCCGGAATGATAACAGTGACACTCATGAGAAAAACAGATCTTTCTCCGTCCCTTTCCGTACTACTGCTCTCCATGGCAAAATACAAATAATGCACAGGAAGTAAACCGAAAGAAAAAAATTAACTGGTAATTTAGTAAATAACAACATAACACGGGATTTATTCAATTCCTTTTTTAAATAAATAAAAATACAATGAGAAACGATAAAGTACAAATTGCACAGCTTAAATAAATATTTTTTTGCACGTGACTTTGAATCCCTCACATCTCAGAACAAATTAGTAGATCTACTCCCTCAAAGGTACGTAAGAATGAAGGATTTCTCACTTTATCGTTTTTTTTTTCTTTTTTCGTGGGGGAAGGGAAAGGAAGGAAAGTGATTTATGCCAGTCAGAAATAAATAAATAAATAAATAAAAACGCTGTGAGAGAAGAAGCTAAGAGTATTTACTGACAACTAGTCATTACGCCTGTCATGACTCAGAATTGAAGGTGTAAAAACAATAATCATAATAATAGAAACAAATAAATAAAATAAATAAAAACAGAGTACACATATAAATATATATAATTGTTTTTTTTTTCTTTTTTTTTCTTACCAGTGTTAGCAAAAAAAAAGAAAAAAAAACACTCAAATCAACCTTATCAGGGTTTAATATTCGCTAACTATACAGAAAAATGATATTCTGTTCAGAAGTAATCAGTGCATATGAACGAAACAGCGGACTACTAGTCAATCAGGGTAAAAGTCTTTTTCACGAAGTCCCTTACCTGCATTTGTTGTCAAGGTATTCCATTGTGATATAGATTGCTGAAATTCACTCGTTAGAGATGTCAACTGAGCCTCTAATACGGCATGTACAGAATCCCCAGTAGATTTATTAGTTTTATTTTGATCGGGATGTAATATGTTATTGTTTTTTGTGATAGAATTAGGGGAAATTGTGTAGCCATTATTATCACATTCCGGTTCTTTTCCTACCCTTTCTTTCTCTGTTGTTTGGTTCTCTTCTTCAACGATTGTGCTATTGTTAACTAAAGAAATATTCACTTCATCTCTCAATACACTGTCAGAATTTTCTTCCCTACCATTATATAACTCATTCTGATAATATGAATTTACCTGAACAGATTTATTTCCTTCAACAGACTTGATTCGTGATTCTAATACACGTACTAATTGATCGTGTTCTGAAGCCATTCGAACTGTTTGTTCTTCAACACGTAAACGTTGTCTTTGTTCTGCTTGCAAACGTTGCAAAAGCATTTTCGTAAATCGTGTCAAAACATTTACTTTTTCTTCAAGAGTCATTTCATTTTCATTCGACTCAGATCTACGAACCTGGTTCAGCAAGTTGTTATACTCTGTATTAAACTCTTCAGTTTCCAAATGTTGAGCCTCCAAATCCAAGAGACGGTTCCGTTGCTGAGTAAGCACTGCTACCTTTTTTTCAAGACTCTTGTTGCGTTGTTGTAATTCAACTATTATAGCATCTTCCTCTTCAAGAAGTCGTGTTAAGGTCTCAATTTTAGTATAAAGTGCTTTATTTTTAGAATCTGAAACTGATTCAATGGTATTGTCTCCCTTAAAGGAATCTAATGATGTATTCTCTTTTGAATAATGTCTTAACTGAGCCGCCAAATGTGCATTACGCTCTACTTCTGCTTTCCATTTTTCTCTAGCCTCTTGTAAGGATTTCTTCATTGTATTAATTAATTCGGCACCTTGGTTTTTAAACTGTTGCATAAGTGACATTACAGCTTGTCGCTCTGCTCGTTCCTTCTTTAATAATGCTTCATAATCATGTTCTACATCCATATGAGTTACACGTGCCACCTCTAATTGTTGAAGAACACCTCCCACTTGGTTTCGAAAGGCTTCTTCTTCCTGTCGATGCAAAGCTGAAAGCTCTTCTATTCGAGCTCCTAAATCAGCCAAAGATTGCATTCGTATTCCCATTACATCCGCGATAGTTTCCTCCAATGTCACTACTGAGCAAGAACCACTACTTCGAGATGTGGTCCTTTGTCGATGAGTAGGTGTACTACCACGTGAAAATTGTCTTAATGTATTTTTATTCAAAGAACCCAGATCATTTTTACGTTCAGAGATACCTGTAGAACGAATTGGTTGACCACTCATAAAATGTTTATTTATTCTGGCATTCGAAGGCGAAAAGGGTTTCTCGCTCGTACGCCTCAAAGAATTTCGGTCCATGATATCTTGCCTTTATTTTATGTTTTTTTTTCTCTATCTCAATAGAACACAAAGAAAGCATTTTTTTTTCTTTTTTTTTTTATTTATTTTGCTGTGAAGACTAAAAGTGACAATATTAATTGATTCTACACCAAGTACAAGCAAATTCCAAAAAATATATAATAAGGATAAGAAATCTGTTATGTTTTTTTTTTCTCTCACGTTTTTTTTTTTTTTTTTTACATTGGCATGGACTCATTTTTTCGATCCGTAAAGAGCCCTCATATGTTTCATTATCCTGGGATGTCGACCTGACGTATATTGGTGAACGATAGCGTACGTTAGATTTGTCCTTGGAATAACGACAGAATTCTCTTCATTTAAAGCCAAATCTCCGTAATTCCCATGAAATACACAGTTTTTCTTTTCTTGAGGATACTTTAACTTTTTGTAAGAATAATTTTCATGTTTAATATGTAGAATATAATTATGATTTGCCTGATCAAGAGCCACATTAAGGGACATGGAACATTTAAGAAGATGTGGATTCTCTATTTCTTGCAATAATGAGATAAGATAGCGCAATATTCCCATTGCGTTCCCTAATATCACACCAGCACAAGAAATCTCTGCTTTTCCCAAACGACTCAATACTGAGTTACCATAGCATGACATCCAACGTCGGTTGTATTTTTCATTTCCAAAAGATTTTTTCATACTTTCAAGTGTAAAAACTACAAACGGTTCAGATTCTAAAGGAAAACACCCACCATCTTGTGCGAATGGATCCCTTTGAAAAACAACATCAGAGCTATCACATATAACAAAAAGAGAATTATGCATCATGGAAGAAAAATTACCATGTAACCTTTCCTCTTGAAAACGACTGTAGCGTTGAAGCCATTCATAATAAAGAGCAAACCGGAAATTATTTGCGCCATTTCGTATTTTACTTGCCCATTTCTTTTTTAAAAACTCAGGAGTCCAAACCTCGTAAACCACCTCTGGAATATTGTTAGTGTCTTTGCGAATGAAAGAGTTCGCTGAGTGAGAAACTATAATCCAGTGTAAAAAACCTTCGATAGACCATTTTCTAATACTTTCTTCTTGCCATAAGGATAAAAAGGTTATTGCATCAATAAAGAATATCAACTTTGTATTACGGAATTCAACTGGTACGGAAGGATCTTCTGCCCGTAGATACGTCACTGTACGAAGTGAAGATATGAACACAAGAACCCATTCCACCGAAGGAGTTTCTCGATGTTTATAGAATTTTGATGAAGCGTTAAAATAATAAGTTGAAAAAACATACCTGTATCCATTGTAGGGTTGAACTTCTAATAAATCTTCAGAATATTTCCTCTTAAATTCATCGGGACTAACTGTGGAATTATCATGTATATTCTCGATGGTAGCACTTCGAGTACCATCTGTGTCAATGTCAGCTATAAAAATAATCACCAAACAGAGAAAAAGTAAAAGGCATAGCACTACCAATAACTTTTTCAGTCTGGAAATTCGCTTCATAGGCTAAACAAAGAAAATGAAGAGAAAAAAAGATGATAATAAAATACATATATATACGAGGAAGTTAATTCATTTTAACAGCTTAAAAAAAAAAAAAAAAAATCATGAAACCATCTACATATTATACGCATATACATGTATTATAGTAAAACGAAAAGAAAAACATTTGCGAGATTTGGTTTCCCCAAAAAAATTATGCCTGAGACAGAGCAAGATCTGCTGCCTCTAAGGCTTCATGTGCACTCTGTACCAGTGCATCATCCTTATTACTCAGATCTTCTTCATTCAAAAAATCTCTGAGATCTTTAATGGCCGTCCTAATTCTGTTTTCTGAGTGGGGCACCATCATCTGTGCTTCCTCAAGAACATTTTGTTGCTGTGGAACACGATCCGGATCACTTTGCTTTATAGTCTCCAGACGAGTTGTTTCACGAACCACCTCCTTTTTGGCAAATTCCAGATCCTTTATATTGCGTTTAAGGCCGCTCACCTTGATTCGCAAATTCTTCATAACCGGATCTTCCACTTGCTTTGTACGTCCAATAAAACGATTACCATCATCTGCTTGAGATGAAGACATTACTTTCTTTGTCAGTATTTTTTTTTTCTCTAACAAATGTTGGGAATTTTAGCAGAATAATATAAAACAGAATAAAAAAAAAAGAAAAAAAAACTTATTAATGTCACCAAATAAATCTATATAATGTGAATTAACTTTTAACACAATATAGCTCCTAATGGTGTTATGAATGATTTACACATAATCTAGTCATCGCTCTGATCAGCTGCAAACATACCACGCTCATTTAGCATACCATAAGCAGAAAGGACTTGTATCACAGTTTCTGTTGAAAAATCATCAGTTCCGCCAAATTCATCAAATCCAATAATACTGTGAAACGTTTTTTTGCCTTCAATGAGCATTAATGTTGGCAGCATTATTACATTAAATCTTTCAGCCAGAGAAGGTATCCTTTCAACATCAACATAACAAAATCGTGTTTCAAAATGGCGAGCAGCGATTTCTCTTAAGTGTCGCTCAATAATCATACACCTTGATGTAGCCCTTCTCATAAAATGGACAACAACACGCTCAGATTGCTCTACAGCTCGAAAAAACTCCTTTGGATCGGTCAATTCTTGAAGTTGACCATGTCCTTTTCTTAACCAAGCATCTCGGCGTTGTTCCATTTCTTTTAATGCCTTAAGTCTTTTGCGACGGATCTCCATGAGATCTTCGTCATCCATGTTGTCAATACGCTCCATTTCATCGTCAACCGCTCGCTCAATAGTTTCTGCAATTTGCAGCATAGCTTGTTCGGATGCAGCGTTCATGGCTTCTTCTTTTTTGTTTTCTTTTTATTTAAGGGGAAAGGAAAAAAAGAAAAAGAAAAATCGAAAAATATATACCTATTAAATACATAGAAGAATATTCCATTTAATAATCCCTCTTTTCTTCAAATATATATATATAGAAAGAAAGGTAGTTCCGAGTTCAGTTTGGCTGTTCTCCAAAAATATAAAAAAAAAAAAATCATACGAGATTTTGCGAGAAGATTACTGTTCTTCAATCAAACAGAGTCATAATTCGAATTGGTTTTAACACAAGATGATAAGACATCATCATCACTCTTTCCTCTTATTTGACGAAGAAAAATATAAGAAGGACACCCGGCTCTATCTGCTGATGGGAAAAGACATCCCTTAATCTGTTGAATAACGAGAGTTGTAGAGCTAAAAGAGAAATCCCCCCTTAAAGAACGGTAAATATCATCTAAGACGCTATGGGGTAAATAACGAAATCCATAAACGTAGCTGTCTCTCAACTGAAGCACCCAGTCAGTTACCCTTGGGAATACATAAGTACCATCTCTTGAACGTGCATATAAACGGGCAGTCCACCTCAGAGAATTGCAAGATAATGCCCGTTCTTTGACCCCTGATTCATTTTTGGAACGTTTCATGTACTCATTTATACCATGCAAAAGCGAATGATATAATTTCCTCGTACCAGTGTGATTAAGGTCTCTTGACCCGCCAAACTTACGCCTCAAAGCATCAAATGTGTAGCTTTCAGGAACCAAACCCAATAAAGTATCTTGTTCCGGAATTACTGCTAATACAAAAGCAAGCAACACAATAAATGTACATGAAATACGAAATAACCACATTACCCTAAGATTTCTCTCCAACTTACTGACACAATATTTTCTAATGTAAATAGTAAAAATAATCCCAAAAATGTACAACACTGAGAATGTTCTTCAAAACGAGAAAAAAAAGAAAAGATTTCCATGCAAATTTTCCGTGCCAAATGCGTGGATTCGAAGAAACCAGTATCCATGGGAACCACAATAAATAAATAAATAAATACTAAACATAGAAGTCCAGTTTTTTCAAAAGTATAAAAAAAAAAAACGGAATCGGAAATGCAAAACGGTTACAAAACAAAACCACCAAACCTCTAACGCTTCAACACTCGAAACAATAGACCCAGAAAGAAAAAAAAAAAGAAGAAACCACATATAACAAGAACTTTAATCTGCAAAACCAACACAGCAGGGGAAAACAACAGGACCAAGCGCCAGCGAAGCACCGAATGAAGAAAAATAAAAATAAAAACGCCGTTCCGGTCCGGACCTCGCCCGACCCTTTCCCCCTGCCAGAGCCTAGAGGGGGCCGCCGGCGAGCAAAGCCCCGAAAGAAAGAATTCCCAAAAACCACAAAAAGAGAGAGAAAACCCGGGAATCACGCCGGGCGGGCGCCCGCCCCGACGCCATGGGAGAGAGCCGCCCGGGGAAAAACGAAATGGAAAGCCCCTTTTTCGACCCCGTGAAAAAGCCACCAAAACAAACCCGAAAAAAAAGGAAGGAAGGAGGGCCAAAAAAAAAAAAAAAAAGAGTCACCCCTTCCGGCTTCGGCAAAAGCCTGGGCGGGGAAGTCCCGAACCGGGCGCCGCTAACACCTTTTCAAGGGAGACCGAAACGGCCGGCCGAGAACAACCCACAACCAATCCAGCCCGCTGCCTGAGGACCCAAAATTTCTAGCCGGAGAAACGGAACCACCGCGCAAAGGGGCCAAAAAGATTAAAAAAATTGGCCGGCCGCTTCCCCTTGCTTGAACCCGCGGGCGGCGAGGCAAACGGCATTCGTCACGAGGGTTCCTGGCGCCCCCGCCCTTTGGCCACCGAAGCCCCGAGGTCCGACGGGGGAAAGCGCCAAACGGGCGCACCAGAAGCCCGACCATCGAGGCACATTTGCGGAAAAGAGCCGCCCCAGCAGCGCAAAGCATCGCGGCGCCAGCCTTTGGGTTGTTCAAAAGAATTCTTGGGACGAAATCACACACACACACACCCCGCACCACAAAAAGTAAGAAAAAGAACCGCCACACCACCTTCAAAAAAAAAAAAAAAGGAGCCGTTCCCCACCCCGGCCAAGAGGCAAAACAGCCGTCCCAACAACATGGAAAAAGAGCCCGTTCGCACGGAAACCCAAAGGGGAAAGAAGAACCGAAACCACACCGCCCCTGCCAAAGAGGAACCTGCAGGACCCTTTTTCTTTGCCCGCGTGGTGCGGTGGTTTTGAGTGCCTTCTCGGCGGCTGCCGCCGGCCACGCCCGCAGTTTGGAACGGGAAGGGCGGCAAAGAAAAAAAAACAATCCAAGCCTGACATTTCCCCCGGGGAATATCAGAGCGAAGGAAAATAGAAAATATGTTGTTTTATCGCTTTAAACCCTCCATTCCCGGACTAAACGCATATATATATATGCATGCGTCCCGATATTTTTTAACCCAAAAGGTTGTTCCCCCAAATAAATACCATTACTGGGGAAATGGAAATGCGGAAAAGCCCTTTTTATCCCGCTTCCTGCCTGGGGCGCCGAGGGATGCGGCAGTAGAGTTTCTAGAAACTTATGCTTGGCAGATTGTTGGGGTAAAAAAGAATAATCAAATTCCAAAAGTTAAATTCGACACATCTTTTGATTGCTATTAACATAAGACCCCATCATTATTTTCGCAACTGCAGGAAAAAAATTTAAACGGCAAACCGCACCGAATACCTTTGCATTGTCCTCAAATGCTATTGCGGTACGATTTTTAAAGAAACTCAGAATGCAGTGGGATGCGAAGGCGGGGTTTCTGCAAATCTCTCTTCCACGAGCACCTTTCAGACTCATTTGAAGCAAGTGGTGGTTGATTCTGTTTTCTTTTCTCAACGCGGTTGAACTCAAAATTCCCGCGAAAGAGACGTAGCCATTATCGCTTCATTGGGCCACCTTAATTGCCCATCACCCCCAAAAAAAGAGACGGCCAGACCCATCACTCTTGTAAAGTTTTTGGTGCTCAAGAGTAAAACCCCAGCAGACCTTAGCTTCCCCCGGCTTTCTAGGGCCTTAGACCCTGACACCCCCTTTTGTTGGCCAAGCGCCGCCGGGGAGGGGCGCCCACAAACAATGTATGTCAAAAAAATCCCAACGTGGCATATTGGCGACGCCATTTTGCAAACTGATAAAACTTCTCGAAAACCAGACTGCGACCAAATGCGTAGGAAACGTAACCCTCCATCCAACCTGAAACGTTTTTTTTTTTTTTTATAACAGATTTGAATACAAAATTCGACCGTTCAAATTTCGCCTCCCGTTCCCTCTTGGAGGAAGATGGGGAACATGCTGACCCACACACGCCAAAGCCAGACCACTACAAAAATAAGGTGAAAAAGACGCGAGAAAAGCAACAGCAAAGCTGCCACGCCGACACAAAAAAAGAGGAAACACAGTTGAAGAATAACCTGCACAACTTTCAAGCAGAAGGTCCCTTGAAAAACACCTGAATTTTAAAAAGAGGTTGGCTCGCGAAACCCCAACTGCCAAAAACCACGTGGCGCCAGGGGTTGCCACGCGGGGGTCGTGCTTAATAATCATGCCTTGCGACCCCGCCACACGCACAGACACATACACCCACATGCCTTTCACCCAATTTGCTTTTCCTTGAGCATGGCGCTTCTGAAGTGGAACAAGCGGGGCCCCAATATGGAACGTATGCTTGGGCGCCGGCTGCGACCACCACCCCTTCGGCCATCCGGCAAAATCACAGGCAGAGACCAGCGCAGACCAACAACGCAACAGACGAAAGAGGGGGTTCTGGGAGAAAAGCGAGAAGGCGAGAAAGAAACAAAGGCGAGGCGTTTATTTTCAAAAGCGCCGAACGACCATTCCTCAGAACCAAAACGGGCCATTGCAAGGGAGTCCCCCACCCTATTTGGGGTGCTCCGCAACACGAGGCGGGAAGGCAAAGAACCATTTGGAGAGCACCCCCATACCCCTTTACCCGTTTGTGTGATGAATTCCGCCGCTTTGTTTTCCCATTGTGGCGTTTTTTTTTTCTTGCGAATGCCTTCGCTCCGTATATCTTTGGCCCTTTTCGTTCTGCTGCTGTTTTATCTGTCTTTTGCCCCCGTGGCGGCCTGCAATTGGCATTGGCGGCGTTAGAAATTTGTCAGGCGACAGCTCCCTCTAGCGACCCGGGGCGGGGTCACGCCCTGCCAGAAGCGGAACTCCAAAGAAAAAGGAAGGCATAACTTTTTTATTTCGGCACGATGCGATCATAAGAAATATCCTCTTTCCACGATTAAACTTTAGGGTAATCATTTGGGGGCAAAAGAGCAATTCTTTCTAACAGACTCGCGTCTGGAAGTTATGTGCCGCGATCTTCTTTACTAGTGGGTAGATCTTTTCTTTTCGAAAAGAAGCGCCTTTGCAACACACTTCCGGATTCTTTACGCCGAATGGATTAACGAAATATACCGATCATTTTTGGAAGCCTTCCTTTTTCCTTGAGCATACCTTTCTGTAATCAAGCAACCGTGCGGTTAAAAAACTAATCTTGCTGTTTTCTTTCCTTTTTTGCCATTAAAAAAAAAGCCAGGGTATGCAACTCCTCCCACTTTAAATTTTGAAAAAAAAAACATTATTTTGGCCAGGTTTCGTGTCACTTTTGTTTTACTTACGGTAATAATTCTACCTCTTTGCGACAAACTTCATCCGAGACCGTATCAGATGAATTTTCACCCACTTCTCTTTCGTTTGGGAATGTGGAGACTTGGCCCCGGCACGCCTGTGGGAGGCGTAACCCCGAGGGTTTGGCATCCAAAGCGTTTACCCCCCAAGAACATACCAACGGTATACGTTTTAACCGCGTTGGTCCGCTAGCATATCATCAATAAGTAACTGGCATAATGATTTCAGATTCAGTTCTACACCGCCGAGGGGGTGGAGAATTTTTTATGTAGAATTTGCGGGGTAACGAATGCTACCGAAACCCCCCGGGTTTGGACGAGGGTCGGTGGATTTATTTTATACCCCGCAGACCGCCCAAAAACACGGCAGCACCGCAGACCACACCCATGCCAACACCAAAACCTCACAGGAAGGAATGGTAACTATTTTCGGGATCTTTGCTTCCCCTTTTTGGGGGCGCTGAACACTTGGCGGCGCGTGAGGGCAACCTGCCTCGCAAAGGATCGCTTCTTTAGATGCCTCTCTTTTTCAGGTGGCGGCAGTGGAAATCAGAAAAGGATGCGCCACGTTCTTTTAACCAGAACGGAACTAGTGGAAAAGTAAAAATTTGAAGGATTGCCACATATAATGGCAGTGGCACGATCCGCTTTTACATCTTCCCTGCGAATTTTTCTGGCAATAGAAGGCATTTATTATTTTTGAAATTTCCCTTTTTTTTCTTTTTTTTTCTTTTTTTTGGCCGATATGTTTTACTCCTGAGTGAAATTAAAAAAATTAATATTTCCTCGGGCCCTTATGAAATCCAGAGGAAAACCACCATAAGCGGAGTAAAAGGCCCAAAGACACACAGCCACAGATACCCCCACCGGCCATTTTTCTTTTATTCCCTCTCGCCCTTTTGCTTTCTGGAGTGGGCGGAATCTTTTGGCTTTCCAGAATTGTTTTTCGCATTGCAAGTGAAATGGTGGCTTTTTTTTGTTGTTGTTGCAATTTGAAGTTTGGTTAGAAAGGGGGTTTGGTTTTTCCCAATTCTTCGGGTGAACGCGTTATCTTACCAACAAAATTGCTGGGGTTAACCGCACGTCTGGAGGCAGCAGTCGCTGAACTCATGCGGCACCTGTCCCCACCATGGAGAAATTGTTTTTTTTTCTTCATACAGAACAGTTCCAAGCAAAGCTGAGAAAAACCTTTTAAACGACGCCGTTGCGCTGAATGACAATCAGAAATTTAACTTGATTTTCACTCTACAAACGTATAGACAGATTAGAGAAGAGGAATTCCTGTTTAACAAAGGAAAATGTAGTGACACAACCTCTTGCCTCATAACGGTGCCACGCAGCGGAAGAAAACTAAAACCCACAAACCGCGGACCCAGAAATTTTTTTCTTTTGCTTTTTGCCAATTATTTTTCTATTCTTGTTTGAACTGTGGAGGCAGCCTATTTACGACCCCTGTGAAGCAGAAGAACTGATTTATATATTATGCTCCAGATAAGTTTCATTTCCCTTGCAGATTGGTGGCGCGCATTATACCAAAGGAGCCGTCCATCATTTTCAAAATTTTTTACCGGGAAATATGTCTCTCGCCAATTGAGATTCGGTATTCAAAGGTTGCGCTGGATTTGGCTAAAAAAAGCTCTTTTCTAAAGACAATTGGGATAGTAAAGAAGTTGGCTTTATAATCAAAGTATGGACCAGAAGAGTACAAAACCGCGAAAAAAATAGCGGGTCATTAACTAAAAATTCAACACCACATTCTACGAGTTCCTATGGCCAGTTTGGTGGGGAAGGAGGAAAAAGGGCCAGCAACCGGCGGAGAAGAATGGAATTTCAAAAAAAAAAAGCAAACAATAAATTTATAAAATGATAAAACAATAAAGCAGCATTGAGAAGAAAATAATTAATTAACCACCAGCTCTGGCGCCATGCTGCTTTGATACTCGTTTACTGGGTTTCCTATTCTTGCAAAGGTTCTTCTGTTCTAAGAGGGAAATGGGTCCTATTCTTTAAAAAAATATTTCTTATTCACGTTCTTGCCACGTTCTCTCCTTTTTTTTAAAGACCCACCCCACGTGCTAGGGGATCGCGTCGGGGCATGGAAACCGCTTCGCCATTGGGCATGCCGACCGCCCTGCAAAACCGCGGTCCTTAATTTTTGCTTATGCCAAATACGAACTAGTGGGTCTGATTTTTCCCCAGCGGAGCATAAACAAATATAACAAACATTTAGGCAACCGAATATCTACAATTGATTCCGTTGAGTGGCCACCGTTGCCTATCGATCATCGTTTCCTAGGCAACCCTATCCCACTTCGCCAGCGGAACCAGCGCCAACGGGTCTTTTAAAAAACCAAAGGAGAGAACACACTTCCATCACACTAAAGATTTTTTTCTTTTTTGGTTCTTCAACATCGTGGAAATAAATTCTTTCACATCCAATCTCTAGAAAGTGGGTTAGTGGGGTTACCTTCTTTCACTTCGTTTTTTTTTTGGGCGGTTTTCATTTCCATCTTTATATAACGATTTGTGGTATATGACGCGGCATTTTGTTTTCTATTCCCTTTCATCTTTTTTCCTTGGTTTCAAACCCCATGTGCCATACCAATCCTCCGCCATTGCTTATGAGTCGCTTCCATTTGGAACTGTTCAGATCTGTTTTGGGACGAGGGGTTCCCGCAACGATGCCACCCGCCCCAGCCCCCGGGGCTCTCGCGAAGGGGCAATTTTCACTTATTTAATGGTTTAAACTCTCAACGTGATTGTTGGAATGTGTGGGTCCTTGCTTTTTTTTTCTCCCCTTTGCCCGTTGCCGCCGTTTAAACCCGGGTTTGGGTGGGTTAATTCTGCTTCTGTGGTTTGAAAAGGGGCCCGCAAGCACGGGCGAACGAGATTTTTCTATTAAATGCTGTGGAATGCTGTTTTTTGGGTGGTGTGCTGGGTTTAAGTTCCGACATTCGGGTTTGGTAGGATGGAATGGTGCCGCTGGGGCGTTTTCCGGCAACTCGCTGGCCAATTATGAAATTTGGTACGTTGTGGCACTTGGGTGTGTGGGGGGATGTGTTTCGCTTTCATAGAAAAACAAAATGCCAGATAGATGGCGGTGTGGTTGCCGTTTTGGGCGTTCCATGTTTTTCTTTCTTTATTGTTTTTGGGGTCTTCCATCTGCAGTTATTTGAAACGTTAGGCCGCAGAATTCAAATGAGCTACCTATAAGGCGGTTTGGGGATTGTTATTATTGGGTTTTCAATCCCCCTGATGCTCGCCCAGAGGATATCCGGTTAATATAGCTGCAGCAGAAGGTGGCATTTTTCTATTGGCAGACTCCCTAGAGTAATCCTCATTTATTCACCCCATTGGGTGATCTTAGAAGCTGCATTCTCCTGATAAAAATGGCATCCGCGTGGACGTTCCTCCGCTTTACGCGATGGGTAATATGGAAAAAAGTTTATCTAGAATAGCATACCTTGCTCGCAGCGTTTCCTTTTTCGGGTCGGCAAGGAAGTGAACAAAAAGAATCCGTGAAGATTGACACCATACACGGTTACACCCCGCTATGTGGAATCCTTTCTGTAAACATTTTTGGGAGAATTATCTATGCTACGTATTCTTTCTTTTAAGCTGCAAACCAACGGTTTTGCAAGCCGCCTTTATCCTCTTTACAAGGTGCCTGTGGGAAAGCTGTATTGCTGCAGCTTCGGATAAGTGGGATAGCTTAACCAAGTTATCTCCCTATGGCCTGTGGCGTTTCGACATGGGTGGAGATGTACCTTGGTGACGGAAGTGGTGTCAAATCCATCAATTTTATTACACCTTTTTTTTATTGGGGCAATCCGCCTTTACGTCTTCAAGTTCCTTCATGAAAAAGGGTCGCAAATACCAGATTCATTCGGATTGTTTTAAAGGTTGGTTGGCGTTTCTTGACCTTGGGCCGAGGTTAATGTTTGATTATATTGCCGTATGGCTTTATGGATGGGCGATTTGGGTTTCTATATTATTTTAGAAACTTCGGATGTGTAACATCCTTGTCCCATTTTGTATATTCCCAGCTTGTATTGGTAGCGATGCTGCGTCAATGTGGTAGCTAACGGTTGCGGATTCGGCATTAAACATTTGACCCTTCTGAAGGTGCGGCAAAACGCATTGCCAGATCAAAAAGGGAAATACTGTACCCCAGCAAGGTTTTACAGGACCTGGCGCCGATTATTGCCGCAAGCCGTTCGCCAAACTATCTGGCTTGGGAAACTGCTGCCGGTCTGTGGCCCTCAACAGGAATGCAAGCCAAGGAGTGGCGACATGAAAGCCAGAGAGTGGAGTGTTACATGGGATCTTTGGCACTCATTTTACATTTCTCTAAAGGACAACGCATCCCGAAAAAAAGATAAAAGTGGAGTCGTTTTTCTTTTTTAACGATGAACAATTTTAAAGAAACGGTGGCGCCGCCCTTCCCACCCCATCAAACCCAGCGACGCCAAAGGGACAGAAGCCACCACACAAAATTAATGACATGGGGAATTGGGGCTGCGGCGCTGTCTGGCAGGTGCTTCTTTTTCTTCCGGCGCGTTTCTGTTGTTTCTTTGCGCCGTTGGCCTTCATCGGTGCCGGAATTTTTTTTTTTTTCAGACAGGGACGCGCCCCTCTCACTGTGAGGCCGTTTTTTTTTTCGCTGACTGAGCGGTAAAAAGAGGGCCTCGTAATAAGATTTCATGCTTTGGAACTTCTTCGGGGTGAACGTCAAAAGAAAAAAAAAAAAAAAACACATCTTTCTATAACTGTTGGGGGTCCCATGACTCTCCCTTCTTTCTTTTGAGCAAATAAGGCATAATAATGCAGAAAAAAAACCTTAATTAATTTGTGAAAATCAATGTTAGCACTACGGCGCCCAAAGAAGACGGCACAAACTCAAATAACTACCTTCTGCCCGTTTCGGCTTACACAGAATACCCTGGTAAAGCGCAAAGGCAATTGAAACAAAGAGAAGGGAGAGTCTTTTTTTTTTCGCACAGCTTCATTCTCTTTTAAGCGCGTTCTTTTAAAAGTTAAAGTTATAAAACTGTTTGCGTTTGGATCAGTCGGTATTGTTGCTGTCTGTGGATTTTCTTGGCTCTGCTGGAAATGCGCTGGTAAAGCTCAATTGCCGTTTGGTGGGGGAATGCTGCCTTGTTTCTTCGGCCGTTGGTCCCAAAATACTCTTATTACCCCAATAGGTCTCGCATTGGAATTCGGATTTGGTTATTAAACAACTAGATTGCGATCGGAGGTGTGCGCGCAGGCCTCAGAAACCGCTTCCTTTTGCATTTCTTTATTTTTTAGGTTCCCTAGTAGACGCAAATTAAGCTAAGGATCCGTCGAGAATACCAGTTTGGGCACTGCAGCAGACACTTTATCCCTTAGAAGAACTGTTGCTGAAGAAAGATAAAGGGTTAAACCGATGCAACGTCGAAGCTACGTCCTAAAGATATGCGGCATGCGCTGCGTTATTCGTATTCTTGGTGAAGGGCCATTTATGGCGCACCTCCTTAAGGGAGAAGCTGGGGTGAAAGCAAATATGTATTTTCTCTTCTCCCGTTTGTTACTTTGCAATTGTTGAAAATAATGTAAAAGGAAAGTTGAGACAGTTTGTCGTTGGATTTGATAAATCTATTTAAAAAAAAAAGAATTCTTGAAAAATACTGACCGTGTTCGGATAAAGTCGCCCAAGAAAGACTGACCCTGTAAGGGCTATAAGTCCCCTTCCTCTGCCCCATATGCGGACAAAAAAAAAGGAGACAAAGCAAACATCCCAACCCCTAGCAAGTAGGCTCTAGGGTTATTATTCTACTAAGATCCTTTACCGATTGCACCTTGTGCCCTGGTTATGGGGTGCCCCTTTTCCACCCCCAACCCAGGAGGGTTGGCACCCCAAGAAGAAAAAACCACAAAAAAAAAAAAATACATACCGCCTGAAAAATTGTATGTGGACACCACTGCCGTGCCAAATCTCAGCCCTTAGAAGCCAATGGTCGTATAATGATATGTCAACTTTTCGCTGTATCACGCTTAATTCTTTTAATTTGCTCAGGGAAATTAAAAACAGTCAAGAAAGTTTCTAAAGGCGATAGAATACTAAAAATTTAAGTCAAAAAACTTCGACACATGAAATTTGTTTATGATAAAAATTAAATAATCTTTTTTATTGAATTATACTAAGCATAGACTGAGGGAAAGTGCAGGTTTGAAAGTCGATTAGCATAAGATGAAGCGTAAGGTAAAACGAATGCTGGTGGAAAAACGGGACCAAGGGAAAGTCAAAATTGCTAACTGGTATGTGTGGCTTAGAAAAAATTCTGCGGTATAATGGTCCCAGAGCTTTTTTTTTTCTGAATTCCGTCCTGCGGCCACCCCGTGCCCAAGCAGTCGCGTTGGTGTTTTTTTTTTTTCTGTGTGTGTGTGGGGGTGGGGTGGTGGAAGTTTAAAATCAATTCACAGATTACGCAAACGGGGAAGGATAAGAGGAAGGTAAAGTTTTGAATTGGGTCGCATTGCGTCACCCAATAGCCGCATTTGGCAACGGTGAAACGATGTATTTTTCTTTTTTACGTTTTCTTGGGGAGGTACGTTCGGCATGGGCTGCTGAATGTGCGGTCCTAGAAAAAAACAAGAGTTTATGTTGCACCGCAACCACAAAACCAGCAGAAAACGGTGTCATTTGGAGAATGGGAGTTTCCGAATGAAAAGGAACACGAATGTATTATTCCAGGTGGTGCTTAAGATAAATGCCAGATATACCATAGGAGTGGGGTCAGAGAGAAATGCGGACTCAAAAAAAAAAAAAAAAACAGTTAAATTGTTGGTGCGTCATGAAAATTAAAAAAAATAATGGAGAAAGAAAAATAGAACACAAAATGCTACAGAACATTGCGGCGCCACAATGTCATAGAAAATGAACTCCAGCCCCAATATCTGCTAAATAAAGTTAATGTGCAGCAAATCCAGTAAGGATGTCGTTTAAATTGGTGAGTTGGGGGGGGGGCCAAATCAGAGTCTACAAGAAGAAACCTTTGGGGGCATATTGGCGGGACATCCGTGGAACACCGGGCCCCAGAAGAAAAATAATAACATTATAATACAAGGTTCGCCAAGGGAAAAGTGTTTACGCCTTTCAAGCCGTTGCGTTCAAGACTAGCTAAACCAGAACCCAGACTACAATGAAACGTGGGCAAGTTTTGAATTTTTGACGCATTCCCTAGGCGAGGGCGTCTTGGCAGGCGATACCTGATTTGGAACCCGGCTGTTTGCTAATTTGGGCATGCTTCGTGTCACAATAGAAAGTCCAGGACTTTGGATGGGCAAAGATCGCGCATTTGTTAGCCAACAATGCCCCGTTTCTGCTTTGGGGAGGTTGCTGGTCTTCTATGGCTCAGTTTTTTTTTTTTTCTTTTTTTGGGGAAAACATTGTCGAACCCATTCCGGCCAACCATTTCCCCTGGAGGGGCCGGTTCAACAAAAAAGGCTGTGCCGTGCCGTGGCCCCCGGCCCCACCCGGAGGTGGTTTGTTCTTGTTTTCTCCTTGGGCCCCGCGCGGGCGGCGGAAAGCTACGCGGTGCGGGTGCCTGCCGTCTCCTGGCTTTTGGGTGGGGGGCCCCCGGCTCTCGGCAACCTTTCCCGCCCGGCCGGCGCTTGGGGCGAGGTTCCTACCCGGGCGCGTGGCGGGAAGAACGCCGGACCCATCGCCCCTGTTGACGTCCCGCGCGGCCCGGCGTGTTTTTTTTTTTTTTTTTGGTTTTGTTGTTCTTGATTTTTTGCTTCTTCTTGTGGCGGTCGTGGGGGCCCCTGGCGTTCCTCTGGTTGTGCGCCGCTTCCGGTTCGGAAGAGATGCTTGATGCTTTGGTGGGTGTTTCGGTCTCGAATGGGTCCCCGGTTTTTCTTTATTTCCGTCTCCTACTTCATGTGAAGTGTTATTTTTATTAATATTATTATTGGTATTGTAATAATTATTGTAATAATTATTTTTATTATTACTACTATTATTATTAATATTAATAATATTATTATTATTTCTATTGTTCTCGTGGTTCACTTTGCACTTTAGTTGGTGCTCTGTGTGTGAACTAAAAAGGGGATGGTTTCTTTGGTTTTCTTCTTTTTCCTTTTACATGTGCATAAATTCATTCTTATATATGTATGTATTTGTCATGGATAATTTCTTGGTCATTTCGTTTATTTGTTCATGACAACAACCTGATTTCAAGACTTCCTAGATGTGAGAAAATTTTTTTTTTTTTAATGCTTTAAACTTATTTCTTCTCCTTCTTACTGGTTTAAGGTAATGAAGTCTAGTGAAAAACCTTCGGGTTGTTTTAGCGATGTTCCTTACTGCAGTCCAATAGAAAGCAGCGTTTTTTTTGAGACTTTAGGATCGGCAAGAATACATCGAGTTTCTGAATCTATGATGACAAAGGCCGATTCAATAGATTTCTTTATTGATCGTGGCACCCAGTTTTGTAATTTAATTGATGAGCTAAAAAAGAAATTAACCGGAGATGGAAATATACCATCTGGCTTAGAAAGTCTTAAATTTCTTGATGTTATACCTACTTTGTTTCAAAATCCTTCTGTTCAAAGGATTATACGAAATGATGAAGGTAATAGTTGTTTCGTAACCATTGAATCAAAAAACCCAGAGGATCCACTAGACGAACCTAGTATTGGACTTGATAGGGAGCTGTTTACTAGTGTAATATTGTCTCTGGATCTTAAAGGTATTGATTTTCTATGGCAATCTCTTATCTTGTTTCTTATGGGTGACACAGAACCTGAAAAGGATATTGTTTACATCTTGCCAAACATAAATATTTATCTACGAAATGGAAATTCATATGGTGGGTTTTTATTTTCTTTATGGGCTCTTGTAATATCATCAATACTTCATCACTTTACCACGATTCCAGTTGATTATGTTAGGCGAAGACTCAACAGAGTTCGTTTTTGGATTACAGTTTTGCGGGATTCTGAGAGTGATATTATTTCAGATAATATTCATCTCTTTTTTGAGAATAAATTAAGGATTTGTGTTTATCGAATTTTAAACACAAAACCTATAACATATAAAGGATATGATGATAAATTTACTACTGTTATTAGAGTTGCTGATCGTGAAGAGTGGTTGGAAAAGACAACGGAGATAGTGGTAAATACTCATGAGGAATTATGTGATACAAACGTGGATCCTCAAGATGAATCGGAATTATCATTCTCATGTATTTTACTTATTATTCCCGAGATAAAGTCATTGAGGAGAGAATTAGAAAAACGTCTTTGTGATAGTTATACCAGTGTTCCAATTTCTGTTGTTACACAGGAAAAAGAAATTTACGAAGGTTTTTCTAATCTTGATAGAAATACGCCTATTACAATCTTTTATTCAGAAAAACAAATTGAAGAGCAATTACTAAAACCAGAACATGAACGTTACTTAAAACGTTTGAATATAAAGGCCATTATAGTTGGGGAGGAGAGTTTTAATGATCGAAGTATCGTTCTTATTCGCCATTTAATTCCTGAAAGTCCCCCACCAGTTCTTCTACTGTATCCAAGAAAGAATTCTGTAGATTTTAAAAAGAACTCTTGTGAGGTGGATTGTAACAAAAATTGTAATATTCAGGAGGCAATAAATCTTATTCTTTGGTTATTTAGAAGGTTTAGATTTGACCTTTGTGTAAAAGGAATACAACCAGTTTTACATGCATCTAAAATGTTTTTTATTTCTACGAATACCACCTCATTTTTTAATGAGGTTCTAGATACAATGAAAGTAACTGGCTTGGTACGTTTTGTGAAACAAACGGATGAAACCAATTCTTTTAGGTTAGAAATTCTTGGCCGAGCAATTTCTTATCGCTTTCGTTTACCTTACGAAGGGAAGTTGCCTGAACTAACACCTTTTGATGTTAAGTGTATTCTTTGGTGTCATGCACTTAGACAATCTAAAATTACTGCTAATAAGTTAATATCCAATGTTCATTCATTTCCCACATGGGTAGAAAAAGCAATTGATTTTTTTTGTTCTCGTTATCGAATATCATTACAAAATGAAAATGACACTGAACGAGAAACGCTTGTCAAACTATTTTCTTCAGTACCAAAAAATAATGAAGAAATTTCGCGTGTAAAACTTTTTTTAATGCATCCTTCAGGAGAAAGATTACCAATTTTAAATCACTTTATACAAACACCATCTACTTTATGCCGAGGTTGGTATGAACAGGCACCTATTGGAACAGATGTTGAGGTATCACCCAAACCGCATGTCAGTGTATATTGCTATCCCTCTTATAATGAATTATGTGAGGTACATTTTGGAGATCATACTTTGCAGTGCCCTTTAGATATTTCATATCCCTTAATTGCCACTCATATTGCTCTTCATACTACAATTTTGAACAATAGTGTCTTTCTGGAATATAATGACTTTTCTGCAGTACCACCTCTTGTACCAATGCCTTTGACAGTTCTTCAAAATCCCACATTAAACTCTTTTTTGGATGACTTTGATAACGGAAATGTGGGATATTGGCTTGATAACTGTATGAATTCGTCTAATTCTCTATCGGATGGTATGGAACTTGCATCTTTAATGGCAAGGACATCCTCATTACTTGGAATTTGTGATCGTGGTGCTTTACGTCGAAAACGGGCCACTAAAGATTCTGTTGTTAAACGTCAAAAATGTGAGATTAATGAAACTCCCAAACCCCCATCTGAAGCTGAGGCAGAAACTATTAGAGAGTTTGTAAATGCTGCAAAAAAACTAGGACGTGAAAATGCGGAAAAACGCTTTAAAGGAAAGAGAGGGTTTGGGTTTTTAAACCCTTCTAATGAAAGTCATGCTTTTTATCTTTATATTTTGGAACAATCTTCCCCGTAAATAATTTGTACTTATTTAACCGGGATTTATTTGAGTATAAATCTATGTTTTTTTTTTCTCTTGTGTATAAAGAGAAATATCTAATTAAAAATAAAATAAAAGGCTTGATTTCCTTTTTTTTTTGAATTCTTTTACTGAATTGTTATTCTTAAATTTTTTTTTTTCCTTTTGCGTTTTATTTTATATTGCCTTAAGAGGTATCGATTTAGTTCATGGAATGGAATCCTTTCCCAAAGAGGAAAAAAGACTTACTACTAAAGAAAAATATGGACGTGTGCTTTCTTACGCTGCATTTGTGACTGTATCATGCATAGTGTGTTTTAGTCTCTTTAACGTTTCTGATGATGTTCTTCCAGAGTTATTCTCTGGTTTCTGGACTACTTCACTGCTTCCAGAATATGAAGGGATTAACCTTACTTGCTCATATGGATCTAAAGGGCGCTGTACCGCATTTATCAGGGTTTCAGATACTGTAGTAGATAATCTTTCAATGAAATTTGTTTCTTCGCAAGCTGCAGGCTGGGTTGCAGTAGAACCCATTGCTGAGGATGGCTGGATCGTGTTAAGGAGCTCCAAAGGACAGTTAATACTTAGGATCCTGAGTCTTTCTGGGGTTAAGACATTTTCATTAGATCGCAGGTTGACCGATAAAAAGTCTACTTCTTTATGGGGAAAGAAATGGAAACAAGTATGCGCAATATTTATTGTTGTTGGTTTGTTTAAATGGTTTCAGCTAAAATATTTCTCCCATGGACTTATTAATCAACGTAGACGGCGTTACAGAGAAAGGTTTATTAAGACCGATATAATGAAAAAAAGAAATTAGACCTTTTCTGACTCGTAAAAAAAAAAAAAAAACAGTCTGATTGCAAAAAAAAAAAACCCTTCTGTAATATGTTTTGTTATCTTCCGAGTAAGCGTTATTCGATAGATTTCTTCGCTGGTCTGTTTTCTTGGGAAGGGTATTTTGCTGTATTTTTCTTTTTTTTAGTTTTTTTTTTTCTTTCTTTCTCAGCATAATAATTGGATCTTTCCTTTCTGTGATCTTTATTGTTTTTTTTTTTTTCATAAAAATATATATCTTGTTTTTAGCACTATTAGGGGTATTACACTCAATAAGACGTTGAAATAGGTAGATTTCGATAAATAATAATTAACTACATATGCAGAGTGCAAAAAAGCGTGAAATTTGCTACGAGGCTCGTGATTTGTATCACAAGTGTCTTGATACTCTCCCTGAAGATTCAGAAAAGGAGTGTGCCAATCAAAAAAAAGCACTGGAAAAGGCTTGTCCTCCTAGTTGGGTTAATTATTTCGAGAAGCAGAGAGAAAGAGAGGTGATTCTTCAGATGCAGCTGGAACGTAGCACTGGTAAAGAAAGATAGCCCCAGGTATTCTTGTTATATCTATATATATATATTTCTTACCATAAGCGCAAAAAATAAATCCTATATGTTCTCTTTCTTTTCAAAGTATCTTTTCGTAGTATTAAGGGAGATAGAGAAAATTTTTTTGTTTTAATATATTTTTCCTCTTTTAATACAGGAACCATGAGTCTTGGAAAAACCATTTACGTTGACAAGGAGCTTGCAGAGAACATGCAAACTGTTTCACAGATACGGACGATGAGTGCCCTATTAGCAGGTGTTGGAGCAGGAGTATTGGGGTTGACTGGTCTCCTTGGTGCAATTTTTTTCCTCTGTAGCGCAGCATTTACTTCGCTTGTGATACTAAGTGTTGCCTGTGATGGCACACCTGATCGATACTTTCCATCTGGGAAAAAACTTCTTTTCTCTTTTGGGAGCCTCATCAGTGGAGCTATGACGTATATTTTGGCCTGGACAGTAGCATATGATGCGGTTTACATATTTTAAAGTACTATTTTGAACAATTTCTCTGGTATTGTTTATGAAGAGACTAAGAACTGTTTATACAGTATCAAAAAAAAAAAAAAAAAAAAAAAAAAAAAAAAAAAAAAAAAAAAAAAAAAAAAA